AATAGCCCACATCATAACTATCAGGCCATCAGTATCATATCCCACACTAACTTGCCTCCTCTACTCCCAAGGTGCCACGTTTTCAAGAACTGGACTGTTTCTGGAAAGCATATCTGCACACCAAAAGTGCCTAATACTCTTTTCCACTGGAAAAGGCAAAGCTGAAAGGAACAGGTGATTAGCTTGTTCATTGCAGCTGTTACATAAGATGCAATTCAAATTATCTACTTCCATGCCCCTTTTCAGAAGCTTCTCAGGAATTTGTCCAATGCAGCGACCCATAACAAAAAAGAGACCTTTGAGGATACTCCACCATTCCACACTAAGGAGTGTAGAAACTTGCTGCCTTCCCTGGGTAGTAAATTCCTGTACATAGACTGACTAAGAAGTCTCTTGAACTGTTCCACACCCACTCTCTTTTGTCCCTCTGACTTCTATTAAGGTTTGTATTATGCAGAACCTGCAACAGTCCTGCTATGATGCAATTCAAATTATCTTCTTTACAGTATTGGTTCTGGCTGCACCAATTTTTTGTCAAATTAGTACTTGTACCTTTCCACATCTTTGATGTACTGCAAATGCATCACAATCATCTTTTCTCCTGGATGGTGATTTAATTTATCATTATGAGGCATGCATTTTTTGTATGGAGATGCAGTAGAAACACACCCTATATGTGGCATACACTTTTCTCATCACCATCATCTAAGCCTTGTCCCAACCTTATGGGGTTGGCTACATGGATCCTGTTTTGCCATTTTGTTCTATTCAGTGCCATATCCATTGTTGAATTATGAATGCTTTTCTAAGAGAAGTGCACCTGATTCATCTCAATGCCTTATACATACATGCATTTGGGCATATTTAACGCTTCACATAGAGGTGTGCCTCCAGGCATACAACCTTTTGGAGATTTTGATTCCCATATCCAACTCCATGCAATACAACCTTTTGGAGATCCATAGAAAGTGGCATGCCCATGTTCTAATTTTTGGAATCTTCTGAAGTCTTGAGCTATATACTTTTGTTTCTACTTCTATCTTTATCTGTTTTTTCTATATTCTTTTATGTATCTTATCTTTATGGAGACTAAAAAATGTTATAAATCTGTCATTATTGTGTTTTTTTATGGGTAAAAGTTAGACATTCATTTCATTTCTATCTTTGACTTGCTTCATATATTAGTCTGCATGCATAGGGTTCCACATTTTTATCTTATGTTTTCTTGTATCATATGACACTCACAGGCACCTCTGAATATATGCTTTGGCATCTTAGAAAACTTTTAGGTTTTCATTTGGATGTGTMTTTTGAGTCCTTATTTGGTGAGCATGCCTGAATGGCCATTGTTGATAGTTCACCGCTAGCATTTTGTTCTTATGGTTAACATTCTTCTCTGTCAATTGACTCAATGTTTCTTTCCAGGGAAAGTATGTAACTAGTAGAAATCTGAGAGATCGACTCTACCGTGAACTTGAGAGAAATTTGGCTATGAAAGTTGAAGATGGTGAAACAGCAGATACTTTCATTGTTAGTGGGAGGGGTACTTTACATATCACCATACTGATAGAAAACATGTAAGTTAGAGTTCAAGTCCTTTCACTATTGTTGGTTTCATTTTGTATGCAGGTTTATATAATCCTTGTGAACTGCAGGCGAAGGGAAGGATATGAGTTCATGGTGGGACCACCCAAGGTTATCAACAAGAAAGTGGATGACAAGTTGCTGGAACCTTACGAGGTATTATTTCCAAGGTTCAAAGTATTGATATGATATGCCCTGTATCGGGCATATTGTTGGCTTCTTGATACACCTATTTACGGGTGTATTGATTAAATAATATAAAAACATGTATAAAAGTTAAGTTTTGAAAAAAAAAAACCGTGTGGCCTATAAAGTATCGATGTACAGGGGTGTATCGATACTTTGAACCTTTGTTTCACTAAGGATTTCTTTTTTGGATAAGTAAAGTTGTTTTAAGAAATTGAATAAAAAACAAATAAAAGTTGTAGAAATCATCAGTAAGAGATTCTTTTTTGGGTTGAGAAATGTATAATGCATTTAACAAATCCACTTGATAACTGTACAAGTACAAGTTGCATTGCAAGGCTTTGGTGAATGTTCTAGTTCTATTTTATCTCTTTGAAGACCATTTTCATTGATATAACATGCAAAGAGAGAAGTTTTAGAGATGAGACTGCTTTTTCATTTTTTACTTCTATGATGTAATATGCATAATATGTGAATTCCTTGCAGATTGCTACTGTTGAGGTGCCCGAGGAATACATGGGACCTGTAGTTGAACTTTTGGGTAAAAGACGTGGGCAAATGTTTGATATGCAAGGACTTGGGTTTGTAACAATGGATTTTTTATTGTTTATATATCCAGTTTCACCTTGGCACTTCAATCATAGAGTCATCTCAATTGCATAGTGCATACTGATTGATTACTACATTGTTGCTTGTGTATCTTCAATGAAGCATAAAATTAACTTCTGGTCCATCTTGAATGATGTAATAGTAAATATATCGACTTCACTATCTTTTGGAACTTGTTTTTGTACTGTCATTCTGTCAAAACTCTTTCTTCTTGTAAACTGTGTTCCTTTTCACTAATAAAATTTGCACTTTATCACAGCAATGTATTTACACAAATTATAGATGCATTATGTTGTATGCTCAACAGAAGTGATGGATTTATGCTTTTTTGTGTCCATGCAATAGTAAAAAAATGTGCATTAACAATTCATTTTTTTATATGCATATAATTTATGAACAACTATTGTAATTATGCTAAGTAAATGAAAGTTGTTCCACACTCTCCATGCATGTAGGTCCTAAATAACTAATGAAGCAACAATAAATTTATGCCTGATTATATGGTCAGTTTCTCTTACATATTAACAACTTTGCAACTTCTGTATGCTATATCTGGCAAATAACCTTGCATTTATGATCTGCACACTGGTGACTTGTTATTCCAATTGTTGGACATCATATTCCTTTTTTTTATGTCACAAGCTTAATATGATTCTTATTGATAATTTGCTTTTATAATGAATGGATAAATAGGAATTCTCCCCACATGTTGCACCAAGGTGATTATAGTGTTTATTGCCATATATTCTAAAATCCATTTGTCCACCAGGTCAGAGGGAACAACATTACTTAAATATAAGATACCGACTCGTGGCCTTTTAGGATTGAGAAATGCAATTTTGACGGCATCTCGAGGAACAGCAATCCTCAATACTATATTTGATAGTTATGGACCATGGGCTGGAGATATTAGCACCCGAGATCAGGGTTCTTTGGTAATTCTTGCCCCTTTTTTTTCATATTTTGATCAGAAACAGTAGAAATTATTTCATCAAGAAATAATATGATACAAGAATGCCCGGCATTCATTTAATGAGGCTGGCACCTGCTCCCTCCCTTTACATGCATTTCTTTTTACAAAGTACCCCAAACATTTTTCTTGTATTCACCCATTGTCTGGCCATGGCATCTGCTATCACATTTGCAGATCTATATGCTCATGTAAAGCTTGCATTCAGTTCTGGTCACAAAGTTTTCAGCTCTTTCAAATCATTCCAGTACTGCAATGGTCCTTGTTTCTTATATTTCAGCTAGCTTATCACCACCTTTGAGTCTCCTTCCACTACAACTTTCCTTGGGTTTAGGTTCTTTGCAAATCTTAGGCCTTTCAATTCTGCCTTCCGTTCAACCCTGATAGAATTTCCTTTCCCCATGGGGCCTGAGAATATAGCTAGAATATTCTCCTTTTGGTCCATAGAGACTCCTCTAATACCCAATACTCCAGGGTTTCCAAAACTGCACTCTTTAAAACTTAGTTTTTACTTCTCTTTTGTTTGGTGGAACCAAATGCAATGAGACCACATTCCTTTGAGTAGTAGTAGTGCTACCACACTCCACCCTCTAAGAAAATTCGGAATAAGAAATGCTTTAAAAAGTTTAAGGTTTTAAACCATTAAGTGCTTTTACATAAGCTCCCCTTAACTCCTTTATTGATTCTAGAGTCCTTTTCTTGCCTTTAAAGATCTATTGTTCCTCTCTTCCCAAATTATCCGTAAAGATGTGGCCCTGATGCACCTTCACATGGTTTCTTGTTTCTTGGTTTTGCCCAAAGTCTGAACCCTTTTCAAGATCAGTATTTCTCATCTAACAAAGTTTCTATTCTGTATTAAGAGAACCTAAATGAAAATTAATTCAGGTTGCATTTGAGGATGGAACCACCACGTCATATGCTCTCTCTAGTGCACAAGAGCGAGGTCAGATGTTTGTTAGCCCAGGCATGGAAGTTTATAAAGGCCAGATAGTCGGCATTCATCAGCGACCAGGTGACTTGTCTCTTAATGTATGCAAGAAGAAAGCTGCAACAAATATACGTTCCAACAAGGAACAAACAGGTAGGAAACAGCTGTAAAGCTCTTCTTGAGTTAAACTACCTTTATTTTTTCATTGATAAGGTAATTCAATGTCCATTGTTCCTAAAAAGTAGTCATGCTGGCATTAGATTTACTTGTATGATTTGGTATCTGAAAGCAATAAGATGAAATGTCTTCCATCCAATAGAGACAATATTTGAATATTCAGTTCCTCTAAATAAGTGTGTATTCTTAGAAGGTTAGAAAAACAGATTAAGAGAGAAGAAGAAAATAAAGAAAATAGATTATCAGAGTGGTAGCAACATTGGCATTTTCTTCCCTTCTGAAACTTAGCTGGCATCAAGTGTGTGTGCAACTTCTAGCACCTGTCATGATTATGTCTGGTCTTTTAGCAACAATGGCACTTCAGTTCATCTCTCATCTAGCATAGTAGCTTTACCAGCCTTAGAGTTGGCCTTCTGCCTAGTCAATGCAAGGGCAGAATGATCTATTCCAGGAATCTGCATCCTAGCCAACCTTCCAACTTTCTTATCCTTGCACCAATGCATAAGCTTGATACGAACTCAATACCTCTTGTCTAAGAATCTGTTGTCTAGTGATATAAAACTCTGGTTTTAACACAATATAAACTTGAAAACCATGTTATTCTCTGCTAAGCTACTACATTTCTCACAATCATCATGATGCTTCCTCTATACAACTTCATAATGATCATCTTGTTCCATAGAGCACTAAGAAAAGTATATGGAGACCTATCTCTGCCATTGACAATGATTGCTTAACTCCTTATGCAATTGCTTCATACACCCTTTTCTAGATTTTTTTTGTAACCCTTTTTTTTCTAGTTTTTTTTAGCAGTTTTGAGGAACATATAATTCTGGCTGATATATGGTTCCATGGAACTTCATAACCATGATGTCACCATCAAATTCTATTGTTCTCACTTGGAGTAGTTAGGATTATTTGTTTCAGGTTGTGTTTCCTTGTAAGCTTAGAAGGATAGAGAAGACAGATTAAGAGAGAAGAAAGGAGAAAGATAAGAAGAAACGAAGAACAAAGATGATTGAGAGCAAAACCAAAATATGGCAATTAGGCCATAATTTATTCTTTTTTCTAGTAAAAATAGAGTACATTATATACCGCTGCAGCTACATACAATCAAATATTCAATAAAACCCTGGGGGGTAGAGGGACTCTCTTCATACAACTTATCTACTAAGACATGTTGGGAAGAGACTCTCTTCACACATTTCCGTTAAGATAAATTTCAAACTTAGGTCTTTGGTATCAGCATTCAGTCATTTTACCAGCTAATTGATCTGGCATCAACAGTTATTTTTAATATTTTTTGTAGTTTCATGCACATTTGTTTTTTCCAAGAACAGTCTTTCTATACTTAACAAATATCCTCAATTTATGAAATATGCCATATGTCTATTGCTACCTATTTATTGGTTTTCCATGTTCTAAGGTGCACTGTAATCACCAGTGAGGTTCAGATTTCTGGCTCCAATCACCAAATATGCACCTGTCCATGTTGACATAAGTCACAAATAATTGAATGATGATAGTGTTTTCCAGCCTAGTAGGGCTTGCCTTGTTTACTTTGGCATTTTTTATTTGGTTATTTTTCTGTGTTAGTTTGCACTGTTTATGCTTAAAATCAACCAATTTGCATCAGTTGACTTTAAGGTCTTATATTCTCCCTTTTATTGGTGAGGGTAGTCTTACATTTAATTACATAACTTTCTTCTCCATTGGTGCAGTGGTTCTTGATACCCCTTTGGATTATAGTCTGGATGACTGCATAGAGTACATTGAAGAAGATGAGCTTGTGGAGGTGACTCCATTAAGTATTCGCATGTGCAAAAACCCAAAACTAGCAAAGAAGAAGTGAATACCTGGCGGAGAAATGAGATTGCGTATCAACTGTCTTCCTACTAAACTCAGATCAATCACCCGCCATTCCTTGGCAGTCAAACTTTATCAACTTCAGTTGATGCAAGAATATGCCAGTTCTCTCTTACAAAGATTAGTGTATGACAGATTATCCATATCATATTCACCAAGGAGATGAAACTAAGAGACGCATAGGGTGGTATGAGACAAGATTTCCCCCTGATTTCTTGTGTATATAGCCAGTATTGAATCTCAAGATCATTCCCCTTCGGGATCTCCATTCTTAAGAACGTCGGAAAACTAATCCTGGAACCACAGAAATGAGAATCTTCATTATTTATTGTACTTCCTACCCAAAGATGATAAGCGTCAGAGTAATTATTATTATTATTACTTTTCTAAATGTGATGCAGATAAAGCAAGGAGACATTAAATTATTTGCAGAAATCAGTTTCACCTGTCAAGGTTGATCATATTTTCTTTCCTGTTTCAAAATTCTCCGGTGTTTTATCAGGGTGCATAATACTCTAGTAAGATTGTTTCTAGAAGAAGAAATTCTATTTTCTTATTCTTCCTTGGAGGAAGATGTGCTGGGTAAATGACACATTTGAGATTAAAAAGAAAACAATGAAAGCAGTTTTTCCTAATCCTTGATGAGATTGGTTTTATGGCGAGTCTTGATGGCATTATGAAGACCCGTAAGCTATGGCTAGTTATGAAGGCTCCAGATGGCATTATGTGCTTTCTGGCCTCAGAATTGAAGACGCTTTAATAAGATTCAACACCACCCATCCTTAATCTCAACAAAGCCCGGATTGTTCTAACTTCTCGTCCCATGGTTTAAGTGAAAAATGATGGATGGGTTTAGAGGCAATTGCTTGATAAGAAGGATTTTACCCTATGTTGTCTCAGACTCCCAGCTATCTTGGGAGGGGTGGATTGGATGAAAAGGCGTTTGCTTGGAGTTCAGATCTCCGTCCCACGGAGAGCTGCCTCATAACTTACCACACATCTCCGCCGTGCATTGGGAACATCTCCCGTTGATAGTACCAGAACCGATGATGTCATCATTGGGAGATGTTTCCAATACACGGCAGGGATATAGGGATATGGTGTGGGGCGTTGTGGGGCAGAGATGTGAACTCGTTTGCTTGATGCAACACGGTAAAAGTTGGAGTTTTCTTAACGCCCAGTTCATTTTTCAACAACCTTGATGGTCGAGACCTACATTGGGTAATAGCCATGGTTTTGAAAACTGGAGAGTACGAGTTGGTTGGATCGGTTGACTCAGGAACTATTCAGGCGATTGGTTCTGTTTCACCCTAAAACTGCTTTTGGACCAAAAACTGTTGATTTGGTAAGTGACCCACTGACCTGGGTGGTTGAACCATTGACCTATTTGAATCAGACGGTTGGACCATTCAACTTAAGAACTGATGGCCAAAATGGTTGTGTCCTGTCCAGTTTTTAAAACCTTGGTAATAGCCCTTGGAAGAGCTCAAGAGTAGAGCTGTAAAATGGACCATACCTCCTGCGGCTCAACACGACGGAACGTGGGTTATGCTGAGCACAGCACGATCATATGGGTCATGCTGGGCTTGGAGTTTCAGGTCCATGGGTCGGCACAATACGGCATGATTATGAATTGTATACATCAAAATTCATATAAAATAAAATTTTAAGACTTATTAATTTTGTCTATTTTGTTAATTTTTTTAAAAGACTATACATCTCATGGCTTAGCCTGGTCTATGGCCCAGCCTAGCCCAAGGCTCGGCCTACAGACCAGCTCGACCTACGACATGACATGGGCTTGCATGGCTTGGGCCATGGGCCGTGCTGGGCCGACCCCCCAAAGTATCTCATAGGAGAGAAGCACAGCCTGGGGCCGCCCACAGGCCGAGTGGTGCMGGCCCAGCACTGCTCGATTTACACGTCTGGTCAAGAGTTTTCTTAGCTCGTCTGTTACCTCTTTTGGATAAAGAAAAAAGGGATTGTTCGATCAACCTTCCATTATCCTGGTTTGGGTTCGTTCTGCCGATTGGCTTCCTGTTTGATATCCCAGGTAGAGCGACGTTCAAGCAAGCCTTTTTCTAGAGAAAAAAGCTCATTGTTACGGAATCAGTTCTCAACAAGCAATTAGTACCAAACTTCCATTTATTACTTCATCTCTGAATCTTTGAAGTACTGCAATCTCTAAACATTTTCAGCACTAGATGGCACGTAGCTTTATCAGTTTAAATTTGTCACAATTTTCAGTCGGAAGGGAGAAACTGAGAAGCTGAGATGGCAGGAATTGATCGAACTATCGAAGAGCTATGCTCTAGTTCCATCGAGGCATCAACCTTGAGAGACAAATAGAAACTACCAGTTAAGAACTCGAGATGTCTGACATCTTGTCATCTTCCGACAGATCTTTATATTAAGAAGATTAGATACCATTTACCAGCCATTGGATACGGAGAGGTATATCCATTGCCCACGCTTCTAAAGACATCAGAAGTTCGAGTTCTCTGTTGAATTATCAATTTTTTTCTACCATTACATCTCTGCTCCTGAATTATCGAATTTGTGTTGTACACGTGTTGGGTCTAATATGTTACAGACAATCAGAAATTCAGAATCCTCTTAAAAGAATGATAGGATGGCCCACGATTGATATCAATGGTGGAAAATCTATGATTCTGGTGTCTCATGCAGCTTAGGTGTTAAGGGGATGTGGTGAATATCGTTCTTAATGCTGCTCATATGAACCATATAAATATGCTTTAAAAGATAATAGAGATTTCTAGCGTAGTGGGTTTATCGTTAGAGCCTTGGAGGCCTGAAAGTTGGAATTTTGGTTCTGGAAATTGGATTGTGTGGTCAAATGCTACTGCAAGTTCTCACAATTCAGAAGCCGCCATTAATCTCTCCCTCTGTTCTCTTTAAGGTCGAGGTGATACCCTCTATATCGTTATTCCATCATGGGGGTCAGAATTTCAAGAACAGAAAGAGAAATTCATCTCTGCGTGCCGTGGAGAAGGAATCCCAGTTCGAGTTAGACCAAGAAAAGGCCCGGGAGGCACTGAAAAAGCTCGACGAGCAACTCCAAACCCTCTCTCAGAAAGAAATAAGTCCTCCAAAGAAAAGGGTCTCTTCTTCCAACTTGGGTACTCTCTCCCTCAATGTATTCTGGTTTCTGTTTTTTCCAGTCCTTTCTATCTGTTCTATTCGTTTTCTTTACATTTTGCGAACATCACAGTTCTGCTTTTGTGAGACCCTGTTCTTTCTTTGGAGGATTGCCATGCTACAACGTAGGTGTTCCACATTAATAGTTCCTAGAATGGCTAATTGATTATTTTTGCAACGGGTGGATAATCATGGTCCGATCATTTCAGACGGTACCCAGTTCATATTAAAATCACTATTTTAGATTGCTAATGTCCCTTATTGTTTCTATCTAGTGGTAGCTTTCTACTGTCTAGATGTTCCATTCTCGCTATCTGTTGGTTAAACAATTATGGAGTCATAATGTTTTGACAAGTAGAGAACAGAATTTTGATCCTTTCCCCCCTTTCTGGCTTCTATGGTGGAGTTAGACCCGTTCATGGGCTGGGTGGCCCGACCCCCGGACGGGCTTGAACAGGTATATGGGTCCACGGGCTTAACCTCGGGCCAAAAAGCTCAGCCGGCAATAAATTCGAACCGGGCTCGGGATTTGCCAAAATAGCCCGGCCCGACCTATTATTAAACCTAAAAACCCTAGTCGAATACCCCTCTTTTTTTCACCTCTTTGCCTCTTTCCCTTCTTTTTCCAGCCGGACCCTTCTTCTCCACATCCTCTTTCCCTTTTTTATATTCTTTTTTTAATGTAAATAAATTCTGATTTATATTTTGTTATTGAATTTAGAATTTTTATTCTTTTTTTAATGTAAATAAATTCTGATTTATATTGATTATTGAATTTAGAATTTATATTCTTTTTTAATGTAAATAAATTCTGATTTATATTGATTA